GCTGTGCGCCACCGCAACGCCCAGCGAGAAGAGCGCAGGCGCAGGGAGGCCCGACGCAGGCAGGGGGGCTCCCCCATGTCTTCGTCGCCCACGACACTGTTGCTGTGAGGGGTCTTGCCAGTGCCTTTCAGGGGTTGCCGGGCTCGGGCCTGTGTGCTGGGGCATGGCGCAGGTGCGAGCGTGCCGTGTGGCCGGCCCGCTGCTCCGGCTGTTGCCCAAGCGGCGCGTCGGCTCAGTGGTGTGAGTGCGCGCGAACCGGGGCGGATGATATCAGAGAGCACGTGCATTGGTCGCTGCGGTGCGTTGCGGCAAGCGCCAAGCGGCCGCCAAAACGCAGTCGAAAAGTCATTCCGCAGCTGCCACGAATATCGGAACCAGCACATTACAGAGCAAGAAAAACGAGCAGAGACGCAGCCGGAAGTCGGCAGGCAGAAGCGATGTCCAGAGGCGGCGACGGCAGCGTTGGCGGCATCGGCCACGGAGGCCCAAGCCTCGCCATGTGCCGACGCGCAACAGCGCGGCGCGGCCGTGCAGCCTCCTCGCCGTGCCCCTTCATGGCACAGGGGCCGCCGCACTGCGAAGATTGCGTGACGAGCCCGGCTCACGCCGTGGGAGGCTCCCACTGTGTCTCCTCCGTGGTCTCGTTGTAGTAATAGGCGTCTCCGTCGTCGTCGTACATCTTGATCCAGCCCGGGGGCAGCTCTTGCTCGGCGCTGGCTTGCGCAGCCTCGGCCTCGGCAACGGCGGGAGCATCGGGGCGCTCCCACTGCGTGTCTTCAGTCACTTGGTTGTAGTAGTACGCGTCGCCGTCGTCATCATACCGGACCTCCCAGCCCTCTGGCAGCGCGTCGCCGGCCGCTGCCTCCGCCGTTGCCTCTGCCCCAGCCTCCTCCACGGCTGGCGCCTCCGGTGGCTCCCACTGTGTCTCCTCCGTGGTCTCGTTGTAGTAATAGGCGTCTCCGTCGTCGTCGTACATCTTGATCCAGCCCGGGGGCAGCTCTTGCTCGGCGCTGGCTTGCGCAGCCTCCTCCTCCCCTGCCGTCTCCCCCTCAGCCGCGGGCGCCTCCTCGCTGCCCGCCGCATCGGCAGCAGAGGCCGCCGCAGCAGTGGCGGCAGCCCCGTCGGCGGTCCACACGGGCCCCCCATCCGGGACCATGTCGGGCGTCGGGGCCTCGTCGACCCCCTGCAGCTCTGCCTCCTCTCCGGGCGCCACGGCCGAGGGCGGCCGCTTGTTCTCGAACTTGCCCTGGCTGTGGGCCACCAGCGCATCCACGAAGCGGTCCACCGACTGCTCGACCTCGGGCGCCTGGTCCGTGACGATGTAGACCACGAACTTGAAGAGCCCGGCCCCCTGCGCGGCCTGCTCCTCAACCTGGAAGGCGAAGACCCGGCTGTCCTCGGACAGGGTCCACTTGGTGATGGAGTCGAACTTGTGCTCTTCGCACCCCAGCGGGTGAGTGAGGCCGGTGAAAACGATGCCTGAGTACGCAACGGACACCGTGACGTCCTCAGTCCTGTCCATTACCTCCTCCTCCGTGGCGTCCGCGTCGTTGGCGCGCCAGGTGCGCTTGCCCACGAAAATGTCGGAGCCGTAAGCGACAAACTCCTTCACCCGCTGCACGAAGCGACGCTCCGCACCGTAGCGCGGCATCGCCGCCAGGGCAGCGTACTCGGCCGTGAGCTTCTGCGCAGCCTGCTCCACAGTCATCGCCATGGCCTCGGTGGAGTGCTCGCTTGCAGCCTCGCTCATGCCACTCGAGGCCCCACCAGCTCCACCAGCCCCATCGCCGGCGTCCACACACCCGACGCGACGGTACACCTCGCTGCTGGCCCACCGCCGACCGGCCCGCGCGCCTGCGGCCAGCTTCTGCTGGACGACGCTCTCGCTGGTGCCCTTGGCCGCCTCCGCGGCTGCAGTCGCCGCAGGCGTTGAGTGGGCGACGTCAGTCCGGTCCGTCAGCAGGTACCGCGGAACAACGTCCTCGCACAACTCGAGCATGGCCTCCTCCGTGTCGCGCCCGGCAACGAACGGGCCGCGGATGCAGTGAAGCAGGAGGGCTGCCATCTCAGTGGCGTTGGGCTCAGGAAACCTGTAGTTGCACTCGAGGAAGTTGTGCGTTGCCTCGGCGAGCGCCAGCCGGTGGTGGGGATCGTCCACGCTCTCCGGCTCGTCCTCGCGCTTGTCGACTGGCGACTCGATGACATACACCTGGCGCTTGAAATAGAGCCTCCTTCGTGCGGCTGCATCGCGATGGGAGGTGGGGAGCGGAGCAGGGGGGAGAAGAAGGGACGAGGGGAGGTGGGCGGGGGGGAGGGGGGGAGGGGCAATCGAATGGCGCACGCCGACGAACGCCAAAGGCAACCTTGCGCCAGCAGCCAGCGGCCGCCCAGCAGCGTGGTTCGGGGCGACGGCACTGACTATCCAAAACGGTCCCCACGATGTGCGCTCGACTGGCAGCGGTGCGGGTCGAAGCTAGCCCGGGCAAGCGCGCGGTGACGGACAGTAAACGCGGCACGACTCGCGTCATCAACGAGCTCACAACCAAGCAGGTCCTCAGGAGTCCACTTCTTGACCACAGACGCGAGTGTCAGGCTGTCCTTGACGTGCGAGAATCGGCCTCCGGCCTCGTCATCGCGGGCAGCGCACGTGTAGAGGCCGTACTCGCTATCCCCGGCCACGAGTCCAAGCTGCGGCGGCCACGACGATAACGGACGAGGTCGCGTGGCCCTCGCAAAGCGCCAGGGGCCAGCAGCCGATCGCAGCGGGATCTAGGGGCTGACGGGGCCGCCGACGCGGGTGGGCGCATGGCCAGCGGCGGGCCCGCGGGTCGCGCGGGCCACCGCACACCGAGCGGCGGGACAGGTCGGATCGACTGGCCGATGGAGATCCCTGTCGTTGCCCGAGCGGGGCGCCACCGCAGCGAGCTTCCAAGCCTGCCTGGCGCGGGGGGCTCGCCGGCTGCCTCACCTTGTCTGCGATCGCCATGCAGATGGCCGCCGCCTTGGTCAGCTTTGTGACCTTGAGACGGACGCGCGTGCCATCCAGCAAAAACACTGCCACGACGGTGCCGGAGGACGAGATCGGCCCCTTGCTTCCTAGCTTTCCCAGCCAAGCGCTCATGGCGCAGCCCTGGCGGCTGTCCGCTCGCCGGCCTGGGCTCCGCGCGGCCAGACGTGGGCGCCAGCCGCGGAAATTAGTCCGCCCCACCTGCCCCAGCCAAGGCCGGCAGAGCCAACGCCAACGCCTCCCGCCGTCTGACTCTGGCGGCGCGCCGCGCCGCGCGGGGCGGCGCGTTGGAGCACCGCGGCACGACGCCCCTGCTGCCCCTTGCTCTCGCTCGGCTTCTCCTCCCTCGTCTCGGGTTGTGGGTGTCGCAGACCTCTGCTGCCCGTGGTACGCGAGGCGGCCATGCAAGACGCAACCGCCGATTCTCGCCCCGCTCACTCCGGCGCCACTGGCGCTGGCCAGCATGCCATCCCACCCGCTGCTGTCCGCGGCGGGCGGGAAACCACCGCCGGCGGCCAGGCTGGCGAGTGGGGCAGGCCGGCCTCTGCCCGGCGCAGGTGGACTCGGCGGCTGGCTCCATCTGACGCAGAGGCGGGTCCGACCGAGCCAGTGCGCGCTCGACGGCGTCAAGGAGGCCCCAGCCGGAAGCGGAGCAAGAGCGACATCGCAAGCGACAGTGGTGATGATAGCCCGGGCGGGCCGGTCAGCGTGGCGTGGTCGCTGCCCTGGATCGCACGGGCGGCTCTTGTTGCGCTCGGAGCAGCCGGAGCCCTGTGGTTCGGACTGTGGCTGGTGGAAGCGCCCCTTCCTGTTGCGGCGTACCCATGCGCGCCGCTCGGCGACGGTTCGTCGGCCCCTCGGTGGGCCGCAGGTCTGTTCTGGTGCGGGCTCAACGCCCTCTCTGTGCTGGCCTTTGGCACCGCCCACTCCGTCCTAGCGCGCCCTCACGTGCGCCGACTCGTGGCAGCCGACGAGTCCACGTTCCGTGCCGTCTACACGGCGCTCTCGGGGATCCACCTCGCGTTCGTGGCGGCTACTTGGCGGCCAGTCTGCGCTTCCCTCTGGGAGCTGGGTCTGCCATCTTCGGTTCGGCAGTACCGCTGGGCTGTCGACGCGCTGCTTGCTGCCCCGTTCTTCCTTGGCATCGCAGCCGCGTCCGGAGCGGCACCTGGCGGAGGCTTGGCGTTCGTTGGTCTAGGGGCCGCCTCGTCCCGCTCAAGCCAGACCCCGAGCGTGAGTCCCGCCGCCACAGAGTCATTTAGCCCCCCTGCCGCCCCGCCCTGTATTGCCGTCTCCCGTGCCACGCCTCCCCGCGGCGGCCCTGCCCTGACTGGACGGCCCCACCGGTCTGTAGCGAGGTCACTGCCACCGCCTGCCGCGGCGACGCCAAACGGCACAACGCCCAAGCCCTCGCTGCCCTGCAGTGTGTCTTGGTGGCGGCTTGCCTTGCGCTCCGCGTCCCCGAGACCAGCTGCCACCCGTCAGCCCTGCTGAGCGCCGCTGGCTTCCGCGCAGGTTCTCTGGACCGACGGAGTCTACGGGATCGTTCGGCACCCCATGTACACGTGCTTGATTCTCGCAATGGTGTTCACGACCCACATGTCCGCAAACAGGGCCGCCGCCGTAGTAGGTGTCCTTGGCTACCTGTACGGGTTCGGCGTCTACCTGGAGGAGAAAGGCCTTGCCAAGACCTTTGGTAGGCAGTACCGCGAGTACCAGAAGCGCGTTCCCGCTGTCATTCCAGGCCCCCTGGAAGGCGCCATTGCGAGCCTCTGTCCATGTCCCAAGCTGTAGAAAGCTCCCCCTCCCGGCGGTTGCGTCGAATCGGCCCTCCAGCCTAAAGTTGTTGTGCCTGAGTGATGCAGCAAACGCTTGGTCATGCCTACCACTCACCGAGTACTCCAAAGCCCGCAATGGGGCGCAAAGCGTGGAGCTGGCTGGTGGACAAGACACTTTATTTCTGATGACAAAAGTAGACTCACGCGCCAAATCAGCCTTCTTAGCTCAGTTGGTAGAGCGTTTGACTCGTAATCAAAAGGTCAGTGGTTCGACTCCGCTAGAAGGCACTCTTTTTGTTTCTGCCTTGACTTTTGTGCACAACAAGCCGCCAGTGCCTTAGAATGCGTCTGCCAAGGCACTGCTGTGGTTCAAAGAGCAGGGCAAGTCAATGCTGCCGTCGCGCGCGGGAGCCCTCGGCCCGGCCGTCGCGCGCGGCTCCTCCCGACTGCGCGCGGCCCCAGCCCGCAAACGACGCCACCCGCGGCGCTCCTGCGGCCCGCTCGCCGACGAGGGGGTGCCGGCGCGAGGGCCCGCGCGCAGCCGCACGGCGCCCGTTGCCGGCCGGGCAGCAGCAACAGAGCCCATCACTCGGTCCGGGGGTGGGAGTGAAGCACCATCGATCGCGCGCTCAGCAGAGCCGCACTCCACGCACGCGCCCCCTCCCCGCGCGCCCGGCCGCCCCCCCGGGACCGCACTCTCCTCCCTCGAGAAAGAGACTCCCCCGAACATGCCCGGCAAGAGTGAGCGCCGCGCCTCGCCGTCGACGGGGCGCCCACCGCCCGGCGCCCGGGACTCGCCACGCACGTGCTCCACGGAACCGTGGATCGCGCGACCGCCCTGCCCCCCCCGTTCCGTGCTCTTCCCCCTCCCCCGCGCGCAGAGGATGCTGCCCCCAAGGCTGGTGCCAAGGCTGGCGCCGCTGGCGCGAAGGCGTGAGTCCAGCCCGCGCGGTGCGCCCCCGCGAGGCCAACGGAATGCTCCGCCACGACGGCCCGCCGTCGTCCCGACCGGCGCGCGAACAGAGGCACGAGCCCCTCTCCGCCTCCATGGCGCCCTGCCCCTCCACCGCGTGCCCGTCGCAACCATTCCTGTGTCCGCAGCAAGCCCGCCGCCACCAAGGGCGGCGCCAAGGCCGCTGCCCCCAAGGGCAAGACCGACGCCTGAGAGCGACCCAGCTGCAACCCTCCGTCCGCGCCCGGCGCTGCCGGCTCGCCCCGTGCTGGCCTCGCGCCTTGACGGAGCGCCGCGTCTCCCGGGAGCGGGCTGGGGCGGGCGCCTGCGCGCGAGTCACCGCCTCTGGGCATGTGTGCACGCGCGTGTGCGCATGGGGCGTGTGCGCATGGGGCGTGTGCGGCCCCCCGTTGAAGACTGTGCGTGGGTTTGGTTGCAGACGAGAACGGATGCACGGGTGGCGGCCAGCTGTGCGGGAACAAACACCGCGCCTCGAGTGTCCGCCATCGGGCGCGAACACGCCGGGGATGTGGGCGAGGGCGCCCCGTGCCGCAGCCGTCGCGCGCGGGAGCCCTCGGCCCGGCTGTCGCGCGCGGCTCCTCCCGACTGCGCGCGGCCCCAGCCCGCAAACGACGCCACCCGCGGCGCTCCTGCGGCCCGCTCGCCGACGAGGGGGTGCCGGCGCGAGGGCCCGCGCGCAGCCACACGGCGCCCGTTGCCGGCCGGGCAGCAGCAACAGAGCCCATCACTCGGTCCGGGGGTGGGAGTGAAGCACCATCGATCGCGCGCTCAGCAGAGCCGCACTCCACGCACGCGCCCCCTCCCCGCGCGCCCGGCCGCCCCCCCGGGACCGCACTCTCCTCCCTCGAGAAAGAGACTCCCCCGAACATGCCCGGCAAGAGTGAGCGCCGCGCCTCGCCGTCGACGGGGCGCCCACCGCCCGGCGCCCGGGACTCGCCACGCAAGTGCTCCACGGAACCGTGGATCGCGCGACCGCCCTGCCCCCCCCCGTTCCGTGCTCTTCCCCTTCCCACCGCGCGCAGAGGATGCTGCCCCCAAGGCTGGTGCCAAGGCTGGCGCCGCTGGCGCGAAGGCGTGAGTCCAGCCCGCGCGGTGCGCCCCCGCGAGGCCAACGGAATGCTCCGCCACGACGGCCCGCCGTCGTCCCGACCGGCGCGCGAACAGAGGCACGAGCCCCTCTCCGCCTCCATGGCGCCCTGCCCCTCCACCGCGTGCCCGTCGCAACCATTCCTGTGTCCGCAGCAAGCCCGCCGCCACCAAGGGCGGCGCCAAGGCCGCTGCCCCCAAGGGCAAGACCGACGCCTGAGAGCGACCCAGCTGCAACCCTCCGTCCGCGCCCGGCGCTGCCGGCTCGCCCCGTGCTGGCCTCGCGCCTTGACGGAGCGCCGCGTCTCCCGGGAGCGGGCTGGGGCGGGCGCCTGCGCGCGAGTCACCGCCTCTGGGCGTGTGTGCACGCGCGTGTGCGCATGGGGCGTGTGCGCATGGGGCGTGTGCGGCCCCCCGTTGAAGACTGTGCGTGGGTTTGGTTGCAGACGAGAACGGATGCACGGGTGGCGGCCAGCTGTGCAGGAACAAACACCGCGCCTCGAGTGTCCGCCATCGGGCGCGAACACGCCGGGGATGTGGGCGAGGGCGCCCCGTGCCGCAGCCGTCGCGCGCGGGAGCCCTCGGCCCGGCTGTCGCGCGCGGCTCCTCCCGACTGCGCGCGGCCCCAGCCCGCAAACGACGCCACCCGCGGCGCTCCTGCGGCCCGCTCGCCGACGAGGGGGTGCCGGCGCGAGGGCCCGCGCGCAGCCGCACGGCGCCCGTTGCCGGCCGGGCAGCAGCAACAGAGCCCATCACTCGGTCCGGGGGTGGGAGTGAAGCACCATCGATCGCGCGCTCAGCAGAGCCGCACTCCACGCACGCGCCCCCTCCCCGCGCGCCCGGCCGCCCCCCCGGGACCGCACTCTCCTCCCTCGAGAAAGAGACTCCCCCGAACATGCCCGGCAAGAGTGAGCGCCGCGCCTCGCCGTCGACGGGGCGCCCACCGCCCGGCGCCCGGGACTCGCCACGCAAGTGCTCCACGGAACCGTGGATCGCGCGACCGCCCTGCCCCCCCCGTTCCGTGCTCTTCCCCTTCCCACCGCGCGCAGAGGATGCTGCCCCCAAGGCTGGTGCCAAGGCTGGCGCCGCTGGCGCGAAGGCGTGAGTCCAGCCCGCGCGGTGCGCCCCCGCGAGGCCAACGGAATGCTCCGCCACGACGGCCCGCCGTCGTCCCGACCGGCGCGCGAACAGAGGCACGAGCCCCTCTCCGCCTCCATGGCGCCCTGCCCCTCCACCGCGTGCCCGTCGCAACCATTCCTGTGTCCGCAGCAAGCCCGCCGCCACCAAGGGCGGCGCCAAGGCCGCTGCCCCCAAGGGCAAGACCGACGCCTGAGAGCGACCCAGCTGCAACCCTCCGTCCGCGCCCGGCGCTGCCGGCTCGCCCCGTGCTGGCCTCGCGCCTTGACGGAGCGCCGCGTCTCCCGGGAGCGGGCTGGGGCGGGCGCCTGCGCGCGAGTCACCGCCTCTGGGCGTGTGTGCACGCGCGTGTGCGCATGGGGCGTGTGCGCATGGGGCGTGTGCGGCCCCCCGTTGAAGACTGTGCGTGGGTTTGGTTGCAGACGAGAACGGATGCACGGGTGGCGGCCAGCTGTGCAGGAACAAACACCGCGCCTCGAGTGTCCGCCATCGGGCGCGAACACGCCGGGGATGTGGGCGAGGGCGCCCCGTGCCGCAGCCGTCGCGCGCGGGAGCCCTCGGCCCGGCTGTCGCGCGCGGCTCCTCCCGACTGCGCGCGGCCCCAGCCCGCAAACGACGCCACCCGCGGCGCTCCTGCGGCCCGCTCGCCGACGAGGGGGTGCCGGCGCGAGGGCCCGCGCGCAGCCGCACGGCGCCCGTTGCCGGCCGGGCAGCAGCAACAGAGCCCATCACTCGGTCCGGGGGTGGGAGTGAAGCACCATCGATCGCGCGCTCAGCAGAGCCGCACTCCACGCACGCGCCCCCTCCCCGCGCGCCCGGCCGCCCCCCCGGGACCGCACTCTCCTCCCTCGAGAAAGAGACTCCCCCGAACATGCCCGGCAAGAGTGAGCGCCGCGCCTCGCCGTCGACGGGGCGCCCACCGCCCGGCGCCCGGGACTCGCCACGCACGTGCTCCACGGAACCGTGGATCGCGCGACCGCCCTGCCCTCCCCCCGTTCCGTGCTCTTCCCCCTCCCCCCGCGCGCAGAGGATGCTGCCCCCAAGGCTGGTGCCAAGGCTGGCGCCGCTGGCGCGAAGGCGTGAGTCCAGCCCGCGCGGTGCGCCCCCGCGAGGCCAACGGAATGCTCCGCCACGACGGCCCGCCGTCGTCCCGACCGGCGCGCGAACAGAGGCACGAGCCCCTCTCCGCCTCCATGGCGCCCTGCCCCTCCACCGCGTGCCCGTCGCAACCATTCCTGTGTCCGCAGCAAGCCCGCCGCCACCAAGGGCGGCGCCAAGGCCGCTGCCCCCAAGGGCAAGACCGACGCCTGAGAGCGACCCAGCTGCAACCCTCCGTCCGCGCCCGGCGCTGCCGGCTCGCCCCGTGCTGGCCTCGCGCCTTGACGGAGCGCCGCGTCTCCCGGGAGCGGGCTGGGGCGGGCGCCTGCGCGCGAGTCACCGCCTCTGGGCGTGTGTGCACGCGCGTGTGCGCATGGGGCGTGTGCGCATGGGGCGTGTGCGGCCCCCCGTTGAAGACTGTGCGTGGGTTTGGTTGCAGACGAGAACGGATGCACGGGTGGCGGCCAGCTGTGCAGGAACAAACACCGCGCCTCGAGTGTCCGCCATCGGGCGCGAACACGCCGGGGATGTGGGCGAGGGCGCCCCGTGCCGCAGCCGTCGCGCGCGGGAGCCCTCGGCCCGGCTGTCGCGCGCGGCTCCTCCCGACTGCGCGCGGCCCCAGCCCGCAAACGACGCCACGCGCGGCGCTCCTGCGGCCCGCTCGCCGACGAGGGGGTGCCGGCGTGAGTTGCAGTTGCTTTGATTTGATTGCGTTTCGAATCCAATCAATGTTCCACTCGTTGCCGCTGTTCAAGAAGGTCCAGATGGCGGCTTTCGCCAGCGCCGGTCGTGGGAGCCTCGCTGAGGCTGGAGGCCGTTGTGGCTGGCTCTTTGGCAGAGTCTTCAACTCTGCCACCTCGGCTTGCTCACAGCTCTCGCCCTGAGGCCTCAAGGATGGCTGACCCCGAACCCCGGGCCGATGACCTCGCACCTGCTCTGGTGTCTGCTGCCCGCGAGGGCGACGAGGCTGAGGTGGCGAGGCTGCTAGCTAAGG